TTCTCAATTAAAATATTCTCACTTTTTGAGCGTTACCTAAGTGAATTCATAAACTTTTCCGTTTCACTCATTTCAAAGCATTTTCTCCTTCGACACGTATTCTCAGAATCAGACTGAAGAAATACTCGTGTCGCCTTTACAGACAATGACAATCATACTGTCGCAAATTTTACAGTCACTACGTGCTTCAAGGTAAGCAGGAAAAGATTGCTTCCTAAATACTCATGTTCTATAAGATATTGAAATTCAGAAATTCAAAAGGAGCAAAATTTGCAAATTTGCAGATTGCGCTTCACACTGCTTCTCAACTTGTAAAAACGATACATTACAGATAAGAATTGTACATATTGTCATTTATTTGTTGTTGGTACTTCAGAAGAATGAGTTTGAATCGTCAAGAGCGGGGGCGAGACAAAAAGCATTCGGATTTGGTAAATATTGAACGAATATTGAAATTATTTTAGTCAGTGCAAAATTCAACAGATTAGAAATAGACATCGAATGTTTTTGAAAAGCATATTCAAAGATCATTTGCTACTTGGAATTTGCAATACTTCAATTTATTTTTTCAGTTTTACTAATTTTTCTAAAAATTTTCGCATATTCATCTATTTCACTCCCAATTTTATTCTATTCCAGTATAAAATAGCAGTAAAAAAGAAGACATCTCTTATTCATTTTGCTCCCCAAAATAATGCTAAGTCAAACAACCGAAAGGATATGAATTCTGGCACTTACGGAATATAATGGATTCTAATGTAGCTTCTCTTTCGAATAACTCTTGTCACCTTTGACCCAGACAGACATAATCTTTGGAATCTGTTCAACACTCAACACTCTTCACTATCAAACTAAAATCGTCGTCGAAATTTTAATATTTTCTTAAGCTCGAAATTAATTTGCAAATTCGAAGCGGAAGATACGTTGGATTGGAAGAGAACATATTGCTAAAATAACTACTTTGATGAGCTATTCAACGAGTATTCGGAGGGGTGAGTAGTAACCGATGCTGGTGAGTGAGTGCGGACACGCGGAAAAGATACATTTCATTCCGCATTTCATCGATGAGATTGGAGGTAGAGGAGAAGGGCAACGGTAAATGGGTCGATAACAATGCTTGTATAGACAAGCCACTTCCTGGCACCGATAGATTAGCCATCCAAGCCTCCCACAAATCTACAAATCTGCGGGGATAGTATCATTATCACGCATTTCATTTTCTGGTGAAACGAATAGCTACCAGTCCTTCAACTCTTCCAATTCTATGCTAAACAGGTTTGCTTTTACAGTCGTCAATTCATCTTTAACCTTATGTATTTTTATAGGAAATATTTTGAAAAGAGACGCAATTATGCGTAATTATTATAAGTGACAAATCAGTCGTCAATTACAGTTTCAGAGAATGATTGAAATCGTCCATTGTTTGGAGGAATGCGGAAATGGGGAGTTCATGACAAAGGATGCGTCATAGTTTAGTTTCATCGAAACACATCTTGGGATCTGTCAAACAGACGTACTACGTGAAAGATTGAAATGAAGGAAAAGTGGCCGATCTCACACCAAATATTACATTCACTTTCAACCACTAACTGTAAGAGTATCATTCAATGAAATGAAATCAGTGAAAGGAAAAGATCATTATGTCAATTAGTTATTCGGTAGCTAAAAATTTAAATTTTCTCTTCCTTCCACCCCCGCAACAATCCAACCATCCATCCCTTCTTTGCATCAGTCCATGACACATTTCCACTTTTTGAACGTGCATTTCGTGCTACAGACAATGCGATCGAAGAGATGCACTCAATCTCGACTGCTTACTTCTTGCATTCAACTCCTTCTCAGCCGTATGCTTAAATCAGCCCTTACATGGCTGCATTTGGAAAGATTTGCAAAGTGCATGCATCCGCTGCACTTTTTCATATTATTATATCACGTTTCCGCGTGTTCTCATTCCGCTTCCACTATTGCAGTGAAAAAATCTGGCGTGCTCAAATTTGTCAGTTTCAAATAGCTATTGCCATTTTTCTGCACTACCACAACATGTTTTTGTCTGTTGATTTACCTAACAAATTAGCCCAAAATTAGGCATCGACTCTGAATCATCGGAAAACTGAACCCAAATAGATTAAGTGCGCATTGTTTGTTAAGCGAAATGTTACTATTTTAAGTTTAAATCGTGAAAAACTTACTTAGGGCAAATAGTATTTTGAGCGAAAGATATTCGATCTTCGTTTCTCAGGAAGTAGACTGCGGTTTGAAAATACACTGAAATAGCACTTTTATTTGGAACCAAATGACCATCATATTGTCTAATTTGAAATAAAGGACCGACAATCAGCGATAGTGTGATGACGACTCACATAATTTCAGCCTTTTGTAGGCTGATGAAGCCTAAATGCTATCAAAAAAACTTTATGTTGCGAAAATTAAAATACATTTTAAACAAATCGAACAACAAAAGCCCAATTTCATTTTCGCATAAAACCCAAAAAAACGTTATATAACGCAAAATAAAAAATTGTAGCAAAACAGATCAGAATAGTCACTTTTCAAGAAAAATTTGCATATAATAACCCCAAATGATTAAGAAATACACAATTTTGATCGAATGTACAATAAAAAACAATTTCATTTATCGAACAAATATTCTAATATATTTGGTCCTTAATAAAAAGTTAATGATAATCATCTGTGAAGGTGCGAGAAGCTTCTCAGAAGGATACAAATTAATTCACAAACCTTCCCTTAGTGCAAAACTGGTCCAGGGTATCATGTTTGGGTGCATTCGCATCTCTTATAATCAAAGGCATGGCGCAGTGGCCTAGCCGGTCTAACGAAATAAAAGTTGATGGCTTATTAATAATGGTGAATTAAATCACAAACCTTAACCATAAAGTCTTAAGACGACAGTTCAAAAATAAATTTTATGCACTTTTCCTTTTCACTTTCAACTTCTCCGTTTGGATTTTTTTAGCACAACTTGACAATTAAATTTGAGCCAACATTTTGTCGTCGATTCTTTTTTTGCTAGAACTCCTATCACTGAATAATTTGAAGAAGCAATATTCGCAAATTCCAGAAGCCATCAATTGAACTTTTTGTTGAACTATCAGCTCAATCGTTCTTGCAACAAATTTCGGTGCATTTTTCCAACGTTTCAAAATTATTCAATGTGCCTTCACAACCTGCACAATTGATAGAAATTATTCTAAAACATTTATGGTTCTAACTAAACGAAAGTAGCAAACAGGCTTCGTTTTGATTGCGTGGAGCCACGAGCAGAGCTCACTCCTACTATTAGCAAAAATGAGTCAGAAGCTGAAGCATCTCACCTCCGTACTGATAATAAACACAATCGTCCAATTCTGGGTCGTACCCATATCGCGTCTCGAACTCCTTACATTGTCGTCCTGCATCCATTGGTTGCAGACAGAAATTTGCAGGATCCTAAGAAACTGCGAAACTTACTGAAGAATATACATTGAAACTAACCACATTTTGGCACAAAATTTAGACTCAACAATTTCCATTGCCATATTTTTTTTTTGGTTAAATTAAACTTTCTTTAAAGAAAGAATTTAGGATACCTGACAACATGCAGTGATATTTTTTTGAACATTTATATTGCATATGAATCCTAACGGACATGCATCATTCACTCCACACTTGGCCAGAATTTTTCCAGATGCTTCCATAAGTGGATCGCCATGAGGACAATAATCCTCCCTTTCTGAATATGCAGATAGTAGTCAAATTCTCACTCTCTACTTCTATTTAAAAGAATTCTGCTTATTAAATGCTCTGAAAGCATACCACGAGGGCGGCAAACCTGATACTCGACGAAATTAGTGTTCTTCGGATAGATTTCAGTCTTACTGGCCTTTATAAGTTTTCTATTTCCGGTCTAATTTGGAGAGAAAAAAACCTCTGCAAGCTTTCTCACAGCTTTCCCTTGAAAGGAAATTATTTTCATTGCCGCCCAAACCACCGTAAATAAATTCGGAGCATTTTTTTTTGCTCGCCTCATAAAACCACCGTGGAATCTCCTCACCGCCACGTCCAACAGATAACTGTTGTTCACACGAATTCTTAACTGAAATTGTTTTTCTCAAATAGTTTGCAAAAACTATTCAAGAGTTTTGCGTCATTCTTTTCACTCCCATTCTCATCAGGAAAGCAGTCTCTTTTCAGTTTTAAAATATATCATTTATTTGTTTTTTAAAAAAATTCCGGGAAAGATGAGGGATTTCACATCAAAATTATCTTTATGAGAAGCTTGCCTTGTCGGGGACAGCACTGCGTTGTCAGAGGTGATGACCCCTTATGACAGAAGTAATCGTTCGGGCATTCATCTGATCCATTTGATTTGCAAAAAATTCGCCTTCCGTCCCGTTCCGTCAACGGTGTTCCACTCCCGCATGGATTCATCTCTCAAAATATGACATTTGGACATTTCCATAGTTTTAACCAGATGACGGATGCTTCCAAAAAATTCATCAACCTCTGTTTATGTCACGCACGCTGTCACAGAATAAGCCCTAACATACGGACAGAGGATAATATTGGTAGTAGCAGTGAGCGAAGAGAAGGAAGAGTGTGAAAAATTCAATAAAACAGAGTTTTTTTGTCTTAAATGTTAAAATTTCAAACCCTCGCAATTCTGTTGACAGGCTTCTCGCGTGATGAAATTATTGGCATTGCCATAAAGACCGCGATAAACAAATTGATGGCACATTTGTTGTTTCCGATCAAAGTACCATCTTTTCAATTGTTCTGCACCTTTTCCAACTTCTAATGGCAATTTACATGTATCGTTAGCTGGAACATGAAGTTAGATGATATCAAGGGGAGATGATGACAAGGTACGAGTTCTGCAATATAATCTATTGATAGTCAGTTCCACTCCCCTTTTATCAGAATGATTTGGCCATCATTTTTGCTAGCAATGAGTACATTTTAAACAAACACTGATTACATTCAAGGAGAGTAAAGACAAACATCCTGGACAGCAGTTTGTCGTCTCTGGAGAACTTCCAATATGACAGTAGTAATCGTCGGGACAGCCTTCACTACCACCACAGATTATGGGTTCGTTTTCAGCATTCCTAAGTGGCCTACCATATGCACATGGATTTGGCACTGCTGCAAACATTATTAAACACAGGTCATAAACACCTACGACATTTGATCTTAAAAATTTAGGCGAATAATCGAGAGCTTTACTGACACTACTGGAGAAACTGAAAGTCTTCAAAGGACAGAGATTTCGGAGAACTTCATGATTCTCGAGAATCTGCTACCTACCGGGACACGTTGCTTCACAGTCTTCTTCACTCAAAAAATTATTCGCATTCCCTCTTGAACCAAGATAAGCAAATTCATGACATCGATGGGAATGCTTATCATAATAATATCTTAACAGCAAAGACTGTCCTTCTCCTTGATTCATCGGTTCATCACATGGATTCCCGTCTGCAATGAATTAATTATTTAACTTACCCGATGCAGTCTTAAAAAAAACGAAAAACGAACATTCCTCACTTATGACTCCTACATTTTGACATTCCTTATTTTGTCCAGTTCTGATGATCCTATCAATCTCTGTGATTCTTCATACCACAGTACGTTAGGTCTTTATCATTGCTATTATTGCACCGCCACTCTTTTTCTTGAACAGCACTGTTGTCATTTTAACCTTTCTCGAATTTTAATGTTACTTTACTTCTAACACCTAATTATCCCCTACATTTTATTTCTACATTTTCTCCATCACCATGGAACAAAGGATGCAAACTGGAAAGAAGGTCATACTGCGACCTGAATGTCAGACTAACTCTGCTAGGTTAACTGGTCGCATGAAGTTTGCAACGAAATTCTATGGGCATACATACTTTTGCGACAACAGAAGTTCTGTGTTCCATCCGCTCCAATGTGACAATAGTATTCGTGGGGACAACGTTCTTCTGCACTACATCTTCTTGTTTTACCATTCATCAGAAGCGGTTCCCCATTACTGCACGGATTCCTATACGCGGGGCATGCATTCTTGCAGTCATCTTCTGTCAAGAAAGAATTCTGCAACTTTCGTTCAATAGAAATACATTTGAAAAAGGATGAGAGTATGGCTAAATTGCCAGGTTTGCTATAAATTAAAATGTAAACTGCGATGATTCTGCAAAATGATTTTGTCGCAGGACAGCCTGAACATTCGACTAATTAATTAATTAATTCTCTTTTTGTCATGTCGTATTATAATTTGCAAAAAATATATGAGATCGCTATTAATAGCACTGATTGCAGAGAAATTTTCAAATCAATTCACTGACTTATTATCTGAAGTATAAATTCCTGAATATTCAGACACATTTTTCTAAACCAACTTGATTTCCTTCTTTTCCGCGATAATAAAATGTGAGGCATTTGTGTGAGGTCGGCTCAAAATACCACCTCAGTAAACTATTGTTTCCGGTTCCTTCGATCACAGGTTGCTCACAACGATTTGTATCTCAAAATGACAGATAATTCCTAATTTTCTTGCATCTTATTCAACTTTAGTTATCAATGTTAAATCAATAATATAGCTGAATTTTTTTAAATTTATACAGTTGTCAAACTTACCACTTTCTGGACAACAAACAGTGGTATCGATGTGTGCACCTATGTGACACCAATAATTGCGTGGGCAAATGTTCGTTGAAGAGCAAAAGAATGGCATTTGTCGTAGCGTTAGAAGCATCATTCCAGTGCCGCAGGGATTTTTGCATTCCGCTGACAACAAATCGTAGTCAGTAACGGTTGTAAATTATTCAAATGATTTCACTGTCGTATGATTATTTGCATATGCTTTCCAGTAATGCATTGAAGGAAATGAACGTACGTTTGCACTGTTCCTCGCATTCTTCTTTAGTGAGGAAATTATTCTGATTTCCTTTTAAGCCTCTATAAGTGAACATTTTGCACTGTGAAGTACAGGAGCGATCGTTCCGGTCCGCAAACCATCGAGTTATTGTTTCATTTCCTACGCCCTGCGCAACAGGCAGTTCACAAGGATTAATCGATGCTGAAATCTCTCAAATTATTGCAACATTTTCAAAAAAAGAAAAAATTATTCTGAAATTGTTGTTGAAAAATATTCATTCGACTTGAAAAACTCTTTACTTCTGAACAGAACATGAACCAAAAGTATGCTTTTATCAAATTGCAAATAGTTTCATCTGCCTTATTTCTTCACCTTCTACAAACAAAATGAAATGAAGGAAAAAACTGTTTGACAAACTTCCAGCACAGCATAACGAAGAATAAACAGTGGTCCCAATGTGACACCATTGCTTGTCACCACATTCACGACGATTCATTGAACAACTGCGATGTTCGGAGGCCTTCGGTGCTATTTCACAAACCAAATCCCATCCTAAAATTTAAGCAAAGGTGATTATCGAGAAGAAATTCCATTTATACCTTCTTAGCAATTTTTCGTGAAAGAAGAATCCAGGTATCCATTGCTTATAGTGTGCATGCTTCTTCCCACTGCTTATTGCTTATTTATTAATGATTCCGTACGGATTACCTCTACTAATCAGTATATCATGAAAACGACAGAGCGATAAATGCATTTATCGATAGCGTTAAATTGATATCAAATACCTACGCATGCATTTCTGCTTGCATTCTGCGTAAGTGCGGAAACTGTTTTCATTGCCTTTCATTCCACCATAAATAAACTGTTGACAGTCGCCGGAGTTATCGTCGTAGTAGTACCGTTCTAGCCGTGCATTACCTTTACCTTCGTCCATTGGTAAACTACAGGGATCAGCTACTGGAATTTGTGTTCTGTGAGGTTTTGATTGGTCAATTTTGGATCCGTCACGCTACATCTTCATAAGGATAAGTTCGTTAAGATTACTGTCACTACGTGCCATCATTATCTATGTATTTTCCTGAACCGTATAGATTTCCTAAGTCAATCTTCTTTTCTTGGAAGAATCTAGTAAACTCACGTCCAGATCGTTCACAGCAAACTGTTTCCGTTTGAGAAGCTCCAATATGGCAAAAGAATCCCTTAGGGCATGCCATTGAATTTAGCAAACTGCATATCAATGGCTTCCGATCGAAACCCTTGGCCGGTTCACCGTATTTACACGGATTTGCACCTTCTTCATAGTCTATAAAACTTAGTTTTTAAGTTTTCCATTCATTGGTAAAATTATTTCAAAATTTCACATCACTCACTTCGAAGGCCAATTTTTTCATTTATTTCCAATTTGAAAAATTTACTGATTGTTATCACTGGCAGACATTTTCAAGCGTTACGACCAGATAACAAAGTTATTTGCATAGTCCTTCCCCAATGTTCATTTAATGTGATCTTATTGAATTTCACGGATAGCGGAAATTAAGGAGAAATGTTTTCCAATCTGTTTCTTTAAATTTAAACTCTTATTGAAATGGGACCACCAACCAGGCTGTTTGTCTCGCCTCGGTGTGAATTGTTTCTCAGCTGTCGTATCGGGAGATGAAGAGCTTGATCCTTCAGGTGTAGATGGTGTAATAGAAGACGGCGTAGTCTCCATGATATGCGTTGTCTCCGGAGTGATGGTGACAGTGGTAGTTGCGATGGTAGCAGTGGTGCTGGTAGTCATTTCTGAAGATGGTAGTGTAGTGGTTGCTGCAGTTGATGGGAGGGTTGATGAAGTCGTTGTCAGATCTTTGATGTACTTCGTTCTGATTATCAAGCGACGAGTCATTGCTGCTGATGACGATGCAGTCGATGACAAATCTGGAAAAATTCTGAATAATTATGATAAAGTAAACCGGCCGGCGAATTACTGCTGAGAAAAATCCGGCAAACCGATAAATTTTTCAGTGAAACCTTCTCATCGAGATCTATGACAAAATGGAGTCATTATAGAACTGAACTACTCTGTCGAGGTCGATATCTCTGTGGACACAGATGATAAATGTTGAAGCAACGTGTCTGAATCACGATATGTTCTGGAGAATTTGGCGGCTCGTATGACATTACGGTGGCGGTGGCGTATGCGGAAAGCAGCGCATACCAAAGAGACTGCGACATACCTTAAAATGAGTATGGTGCATAATAGCTTTGTCCAAGCAATTGGCTTCGTCGTGCTTAACATCATCAGGAAGTTGCTTAATAGGGAACAGGAATGACAGGCTAATTGATGAACTGGTAAAATGGGAAAATATTTGAACACTTCTAGATCATTTATCTCACCTATCCAATGAGCAGCTCATTATGGTGTAACAGTGAGATATCGTTTATAAATTTTTATATTAGAAACTTTTATGCGGGAACGAAATGGGAACCTATGGAAATAGATCGCAATTAAAACTGAAAAATATTGACCAAATTATCTAAAACAAGCTGTAGTGTTGATGAGATGAGAGAAAGTTGAGCGGAACAAGGATTCAAGACAGATTGACTTTCTCAGTACTATTTAACTGACCGGTTAAGTGTGCAAGTGACCAAAGTGGAAATGCTTTTTTAAGCAAAACTCACTTCTCCGATGACTTTTCATTATTTACTTTCCGAATAGTGAGCTCTTCCTCACGCCACTTCCTGTGGTCGTAATCCATCTTCAATTCCCCTTCAATGAACCATCGCTCTCCATTCATCTCTTACAAATGCAAACATGACAATAACGGATGGGCAAGTGACTCACTGAAAAAGCACTTCACTTCGTGGCATGGTGTGCCCAGAAAATTACTTCCGCTTTGAAATAACTGCAAAATTTTCAATCCCCATATTTCACTTCTTCATCCTAACACAACCATATTGCTAAAAGCAGGAAACATAAGTTTATCAAATTTCATTGCTTCATTAGTTTTCCGAATAGATAGCCCTCAGTAATGCAAATCCTTTTTCAGGTGAGAAAAATTTTTTCGATTTTCACACGTACTGTGCAAAATTTTAATTTCAATTTTAATCCAACTAATTCCTTGTCGTATCACAAGCCAATTTCACTTCACTAAATCGACAGATCTTTCTCGTTCAAGTGCCAGTCAATTCTTACGAGATCCAAGCACAGGTAGCATCGTGATGACACCTTCTCCCGAATCTTTAAGGTTTACCGGAAGTGCTCTGAATCTTTTCACTGCACTGTCTTCTCAACCGAATACGACTGTGAGTGGTGGGAATCCACACGTCACTTGTTTTCCTGAAGCGATAAAATGTTATGCACTGGTTTTCGGAGGGAGAGAGAGAGAGATTCTCTGTACACGTTGCAGGTGCGTGTCAAAGAAGGAGAGAGGAGAGATTGTTTGGTTTCAAGGGTGCTCGCAGAGTGTGTGTCACAATCAATTTTCCCTGGTGGAGGTGTTACAATTACTGAACCGCGAATGGTACCAAAACAGGACTGCTAACAGCAATCATCTTCTCTCCGTCTTCCCCACTAATGGACAAAGTTATAAACAACTCATTTCTCCACTCTTCATAATGGCTGCCGGTTTTCCATGACGAAATGTGGGTCATTTATTAAAGGAGTCGGCGCGTCGTACCGCGCCGCATCGCACTCCCAATGTTGCTCTCAAATCCTTTCGGTATTTTTCAAGATCGTCTCTCCGTACTTTTCTACAAGTATGGTCTCACTGTCAGCTGCAATCCTCGGCCCTTTGTGCTAATACCTGTCCTGATCACCTTCTTGCTGTCGCTCGGTGTATTTACTATGGATGTTGAAGTTAGTGTTCTTTTTCCTTCTTTATCATGACAGTCCCCGGCGAATCTCTCTCTCCCGGTGAAACTCTGCTTTATGCAGACAAGAAAATGTGAAAGTTTTTGAAGAGTATTCTGGATTCCCAAGTCAAAATGGCATTCCGAATTTCTCCCTGAAAAAATTTCTCGCAATCTATAAGATGAACATTTTTCCGCTCGGATATTACAGGATGATCTCAGATTTCTGTATTCACCGATTAATTCCCCGGCACGATTTGAATACAGCATACACAAAGCATTTACCGGTGATTCCATCAACAGTACATATGTTGCGGTAGCTGTTGAACCAAACAACAATTTGCGCAATCTGTTAAGAAAGGTTACATCTGATGTTTTAGGAGAAATTTAGTGCCGTGCACACAGCATAGAACTCGTTTCAACTGCAAGGTGAAGTTCAGCGTATTGTACAGTAATGTCACAATCAGTGACACACAGGAAGGCTTTAATTAGACGTCGTCCCGGACGGATAGCAGTAGTTGGCGCGGAGGAGTTACTGAATCGGAATGGGAACGTTGACGAGAAGTCAGTTTCCTTGGAAGCAAAACTATTATTTATTTATTTATAAGTGGAAATTAACGGAATGCTCATTTCAGGAGATTGCTGCCGAAATTCTGAGTCTAAATGAGTTTGTTCTAAACAATTTAACTGTTAATCTAAATGGCCGAATTTATAATTTCGGCAAAGACATTTGTATACGCACGACGCTTTGTCCACTCAGTAATACCATTGTACAGTTTTTCTTCAATGCCTTCTGGAATGAGAAGGTTTCTATCTACTTTGCTTTCATCCTACATTATGAAATCATCATCCATGGTTCCTGTACTTGTTATTTTCAGCTATGGGATGATCCACGTGTACGTTTGGATTATCCGTTTCTGTACTTCTTCGAGAATAAGTTCTTCTTGCCGCTTCATCTGTACGGCGTGAAACTTGGAGGAACGAAAGGTATTGAATCGATAGAAATGATACATCTTCATTATCCCATACCATCTACGGATCATGCAAGTTCTACTTTTCACTTTTCATTACTAAAATGCACAAAAACAAAAATCCTAGAAAGGAGTAAATCAAAAAGTTTCGAATGATAAATTGGAGCATCACATCTGAGGAAAAGCTTATGCGGGACTCATTAGGAAAAAGGACGTTTCCACTATGATTAGAGCAGAAATAGAGAATAGAATTAATGAAGTTGATAGAGAGAGGTGCACATGGAATGAAACTTCAGGAGACGGCCGAAGTGGTTGGCGGTGCACTTGAAAGCGCGTTGAAGGAGTACTTGGCGGTGAACGAGCGAAGTCTGATCAAAACATCCATGTTCAGCTTCTCGATGCTGAAAAATGAGATGAACAAAAATGCGCTCTACACCTTCCCCTTCATCTCACTTACTCTTCTTCTACTGGTCACTTTCACTATCCTTTCATGGTTCGTTCATTTCTTCTTAACAACAGCTCGATGACCGGTCGACACGAGCACTGATTATTGAAAGCACAGTTGGAGTGACCTATTGTAAGGCATTCCCAACGTATGAATGAGACAGCACTAGTAGAGCTTCTTACTTTTACCACCCTTTACAGTATGACAGGTGACTGGGTCACATCGAAACCACTGGAAGCTCTGATGGGTGTACTTTCATCATCCTTTGCAATTGTCAGTGCAGCTGGATTCATGTTCTTCATGGGAATACCCTTCGTTAGCCAGGTAACGGTAATGCCATTCCTAGCATTGGCTATTGGTGTAGATGACACGTACGTAATGCTCGGAGCATGGCAAGACACACGACGTAGTCTTCCACCGTCCAAGCGAATGGCGCTATCGCTACAAGAAGCTGGCAGGTAATTTCATTATGAAATCTGTTTGGAAGCAACTCTCAGTACGATGCTAACGTGCAGACTGGTTCAATATTGCAGTGCGATAACAGTAACATCAATCACCTCGATGCTTTCCTTTGGCATAGGCTCGTTCAGCACCACTCCAGCAATATCTATATTTTGTCGTTTTATCGCCATGGCTATTATTTTCGATTGGTTTTATCAGGTTAACTGCTTTCGGGTAATTAGCAGTCGAATTCTAAACCTTTGAACTAAAAATATCTCAGCTAAAACTTTTAAGGTAACATTTTTTGCCGGTGTAATGGCACTTGGTGGCAAGCGTGAAGCTGTTGGCTATCATTGCATATTCGTTTGGAAAAAAATGCCCAAAAAGATTGTCGAGGAGGTTTGTTTGCTTACAATTATTTTAGGCTTCGAATTTCAAGAGTTAAGCCTTATTCATTCTTCTCTTATCTTCCGGAATTGAATCTTAATTTTTTATCCGAAAATGAAACAAACTGCAGTCCAGACAAAACACCGTTTTATCAATAACGCATACATTGTTCGCGGATTACATTGCGCCATTTCTGTGCCACAAAGTAACGCGCATCACTTTAATTGGTATTTACGGACTGTACATCTTTGGCGCATTTTACGGATGCTCATTGTTACGACCAAATTTGACACCAAGCCGCTTATTAGTGGATGATTCCCCGCTGACTCATTATCTGAAATTGGCCGAAACGAAAATATGGTCGGAAGGGATGGTCGGAAGAGTGTATGTGAACAATGCGCCCGACTTCACCGCTGATCCAAACCAGGTGAGTCATTAGGAAATCTAATCTCTCACATCTAATTTACTGTCCAGTAATGTTCCAGTTCAGATACCGGTTATATGTTGGCCAAAAGAAAAAATTGATTGATGATTGATTGATCTCGTAGATCGTATTCAGTTGCGATAATTTCAGAAATCTCTGTAATCATCATTTTTATCTTTTGAATTGAACATTTAGATCAATGTTATGCTACGACTGGCGGAAGATTTGGAAAACACAGCTTGTTCACTGGGAAGAAACTCCACTCAGTTCTGGCTTCGGGAATATTTAAACTACCGACAATTCTTCGAAAGTAATGACGACGACTTCTACGATACTCTCGAGTCGTTCCTCAACATATCCTTCAATTCACATTGGAATGCATACCTGTCATGGACGCAACATCCAACAAAGGTGACTGTTATGACTTCTTTTCCAACAAAGTTCAATTTATTTGCTGAGTTTCTCCACACGGTGTCCGTGATGTCGACAGCACGATGCCATCCATCTGTGGGTTCGGAAAAGTTCAACATGATTATCAAAATTAGCAAGAGTGATTTTTCAAGTACAAAACTTTCAGCCTGGTAAGAGATACGTGAACCGTTTCTTCTTCACAACCGCTTTCAAAATCAAAGACTGGAAAGTTCGTACTGCGTTACTGTTACAGTGGCGTAATATTACGAGTTATTATGCAAAGTATGAAGCTTTGGTTTTCGACGAAAATAACTTCTATTCGGATCAAGTAAGCTGTTCGAAAACTTTAGCAGCAGCAGCAGCAGCAGCAGCAGCAGACACTTTCTTTTTTATAAAAACGTGAACTCTCACGCCACATTCTTCTCATTAAACAGAACCAAAATAACTTCAAGACCGTTGCATGTAGTGCTGTGTGAAACGTGTATTTGTGCTCTATAAATGATTACCACCTGCTTTTCTTCTAAATTCCGGAATGACGCTATCAAGTTGATACTGACACATTCAAAGTAGTAGTTGATGTCGTAAACGTTCTTTCCACTTGCAGATGCTGGAACTGCAATCAACAACATTGTCATCGTTAGGTACCGCAATTCTGGCCATGATTATGGTATGCGTTTTATTCATCGCCGATAATACCATCGTATTCTGGGTTGTTTTCGCTATGATTTCAATGGATATCGGCATTGCTGGTTATCTTTCTCTTTGGGGAGCCGACCTGGACCCAACAACTGTGGTCAATATCCTGGTTTGTATAGTCTTCGTTGAAAGTTTTAACAAGTTTTGGGTACTCGTTTAGTTGAGGCAATATTTATTTAAATGACTTAAATAATGACTCGTGATCATCTGAAGTTCTATCTCAAATCGTAGTCGTTAGTCCTAATTTGAAGTAAGCTTCAGCGTTCTGCAGAAGTGATAGTCCCTAAACTGATCACAACTGAGATCATAAATTCCCGAGAGAGGCATATCGACAGTGACGAGACTGCTGCTATTTCTGACGTCTTCAATCCCCACTCGAACTGCTTACACATTTCATTCTAGATGAGCATCGGTTTATGCATTGACTTCGCTACTCATGTTGGTTACCGAATCTATCGGAGCAAGTGCCGGAATCCCGACGAACGTATTCGAGATGCACTGGGAGCGGTTGGTTGGCCGGTGGTCCAAGGTGGAACTTCAACATTCCTAGCTATTATTGTGATGATGCTGGTACCATCGAATGTGGTACGCATGTTCGCGCGTACATCCATCTTGGTCGTTCTAACGGGTCTATTTCATGGGGTTGTTTTGCTGCCTGTCATTATCAGGACATTTGCTTCTTATCCCACTTGCGAAAAGAATCTTCAAGTAAAGGGGTAACTTTGAGATCTTGCTGAGATGTGTTGTGTGAAACGGAAAATACATGAGCATTTGACTGGTATAAATGTGCAGAATACGAATAAATGAACCAGAGGATGAGAATTAGAATTTCTACAAGGAAAAGCCTGTATCGGTCACTCACTGCTCATCAGTGAGTGAACCGGCTTTTACATCGTTTCTAAACGGGTCGTGCATTACGGACAGCAGCCTTTTTTCTATCATTCCTCCTTATCTAACTTAACATCACAATAGGAACAAAAATCGT